CAAGGTGTCCACCCATTCCCGAAAAGGCCTGCAGAATTTCAGGCGGACAGGAGTCTGTTCCGCTTACAAACTGCCTATGGCCCCACTTAATGATGGAGGAGGAAAAATCACACGCTGTCCGTGGTGCTCGGCGCTGTGACTCATTCCATCCCCTTGTTCTCTGTTGCGAGCGTGCAAACCGGCTGTGAGTCAGACATTAGGAGGGTGTGTTTTGTGCACCAGTGACTTGTACCATTCAGACTTTTCTTTTGAAAAATCCTGAAAGGATCTATTTTAGCCAGAGCTTGCAAAGTTTCCTTGCCTGGACTCCCAAGTGTCAAAATCCTGCCGCTCCGCATAACGGATGAGAGGTAGTCTCTGCAGTGTAATTTCTTCATGCAGCATTTATTTTTGAAATTTAGGAAAACAGCAATGTCCTTCTTTAAAAGTGACTTTAATTAGGGAACTATGAAAGAGCCTTGCAGCACACGGGTTAAACGGCTGTACTGCAGCCAAAACTGTGCTCATATCCCAGGGTTCAATCCCAGGTAGCCAGCTCAAGGTTTACTCGGCCTTCCATCCCCCTGAGGTCAGTAAAATGAGTACTCAGCTCACGGGGACGGCAGCAATGTATGGCCTGCATAATTAACTTGTAAACTGACCAATTAACTTATATACCACCCCATTAGTTAACCAAAAGCTGGGGATTCTGCTAAAATACTTTTGCCTTCATGAGCTATCTTCATTTTGCTATCTATAGGGTACCCTAATTTTTATTTAATGTTACTCCTTTTTTTCTTTTGAAATTTTGCACCCCTGATCATTTTGCACCCAGCACAACTGCCCTGTGCCTGCCCCCACCCTACGCCACCAGGCTGAGTATATTCAGTGACCCTGGAAAGGCAACAGTCTCTGGAAAGATGCAGCACTCCAGAGGGGGCTGGGGTAGAGGATGTTGTCAAAGGTGCATGTCAAGCTAGAAACCTAAATCAGAGTCCTCGGCATTGTAATGAGCAATTGCAGGACCCACTTTGGATACTTTTATTAATATGCTTGACTGAGCTACAGAAAAGCAATAATTATTATAAGCAATAATTATTATATCGATTCCCCATTCCCTTCCAGATTAATCCTATGGTGTAGAATATCCTGGTGGTGGAGGTAAGTTTTCTATTTGTGTTATATTAATGCTGCTCACAAGGAAGACGTAGCTTTCAGGGATGGTAAGATTATATTGGCTGAAATCCTGTTGCGTATCAGTGCTGCATAACTGGAAGCTGTGAAAGCAGTTGTAAAATTCTTATCAAGTCATATCCAGCAAGCAATTCTGCAGGTGCAGTTGTGCACCTTGTTGCACAATCAGATTGCACAGTCCATTTTGCAATCAGGCACGCAGTGAGGATTGCCTGGGCATAATTACTTGCAAAAATTAAGTGCCATAAGATTTCAGCCTGATAAGATGTTGCTTATGGAACTATAGAATAATGCCTCTCATTTATTTTCTTTCAGGATATAATTGAAACTGGTAGAACAATACAAATGCTGCTTTCAGAAATAAAGGACTACAAACCACAAATGGTTAAGGTGGTAAGGTAAGCATCATGCTTGTTATACAGCATAGATACGCAACAGGATTTTAGCCAATATCATCTTAGCCTCCCTGAAATCTACCTAAGAACACCAAGGACCAAACCTTGTTTGCAAACCATCTCATTGGAATCTAATCCTTTCCTTGGATTCTGAAATTTCAGTTTTGTTTTACTCGTATGGATCAACGCTGCTGCATCATGAGATGTTTTTATTTTTATTTTTATTTTCTGCTCTTGCTCCCCCGCTGGAAAAACCATGACTGAGAAAAAATAATTTCAACACAAAAGCAGACAATGAGTGGCTTATGAAAACCATTTAAATGTCTGGGGACAGAATCCATTGCATTTCATTCCACTCCTGACTCAGCTAATACCAACAGAAAGCGGGTGTCTCCATTTATTATCCATGCCTATCACTGTAGGAGGAAAATAGAGCCACTCGTAAAATAAGGAAGTAGTTTGTGCAGAAGGGGATCCTTTAGGAATGTGGTACGGCATCATTTGGTGAGTAAAAGAAAAGGGGAAAGAAGCAAAATCTCTGAGGTCCAGGCTCAGTGATTTTAATGATTAACAGAATGTTGAGATCAATAGAGCCGCACCGTGCTGACTATCTGGGCAAAGGAAAGGAGGAAAAGTTGATTTCCTGAGTCTAAAGTACTCTGAAAGTGTCCATAGGGTCAGCAGAGTTTCATCATAATGTTAAAACGAACGCTCCAGAACTATCTGTTCTCACATGAGCAAAATAATGACAATCAGGGCAGGTTAGTGTATCCTTCTCCCCCACCCCACGCCTTTGCACATTAATTTAATCCCAAATGGAATGACTTTACTCAAAGTTTTATTCAAATATATTTCTAAGAGCAACATTCTGACACTGAATGTTCAGGAACTCTATTAACCGCTCTTTAGCCTGTTTAAATATTAACTTCACTTCTTCCTTTCCCTTCAACAATTAACAGTTGGCTTGTTAAAACGACGGCCAGAAGTTCAAGATATTTGATTCAGTACCGGTATCTAAACAAAAAGGATTGTTTGACTCCATGCAGGTTGGAAAAGATGCCACTTCTTAAAACACTTCATGTTTCCTCCTAACCCTGCCCCTCATGGAGGAGGAGACAGAAAAAGATACAGACTTTTAAAAAAACCCCGTATAATACAGTGCTGAATTGCAAACCAATTCAGCGCTATGTCACTTACAATTTTTTTAATTGCATCTCAGACACACACACACAAACACATTCCGATAAAGGGGAAGATAGGAAGAGACATGGAGAATCTTTTTTGTTATTTTTTCTTTAAAGGGAATAATGGGCTAAATAAGGTTGCTTGAGGTATATTCTGATAAAATCACCCAATGCTTGCATCTAGACTGTCTGGCTGCATTGTCTCTGATAGTAATTCATATAATCCACAAAACTTTCAATGTATAGATAGCCTATGTCCAGGAATCGGAGAAGGGCCAGCTCTGTTAGATGTTGAGGGTGCAAGCAAGATGCTGAAGCTGTCCACTCTTTGTCCTAGACCTCCTTAGTTACTCCTGCTGCCTTCAGACACAGCAGAGCGTCCGGCCCCTTTGCCAGTGTTCAAGAAATGTGCAATTCTCAATCCAATTGACAACTCCATACAGGCAACAGATTGAGGAGCAAAACGTCTTGCGTGAGACCTGATTAAGAATGGCTTATGTCTGTTTCACATTCAGTATCAACCCCACTTGTGAATGTTCCAGCCACAAAACCAGGTTACTATAACGGATCTGATGGTACATTCTTTGGAGCCTCCCTCTTGTTCTTGAAATGACATTTTCAACTGGGCAACAAATTCTCTCATGCATGGTATCCCAACTTTTGTTGATACAGATACAGGTTTTGAAATTCCAGATAAATTTGTGTTGGGATACGCTCTCGCCTATAACGAGTACTTCAGAGTCCTAAATCTAAACGTGTTGCCAGCTACTGCGTCTTTAATTGTCATTGGCCATTAGGCCTGCTTGATGAGCACGATGACAAGCCATCCCGTTGAACTTGACCCCTCTTATCGTTATTATAGTGCCACTGGTATGCATCTGATCTTTAATGAATGCATCAAAAGGTTATCTCCTCCCCCATGCAACACAACAACACACTGTTTCCCAAGAAGAGCAGGAAGAAAAGATGAGAAAAAAAGATGAATTGATTAATATTGTTTCCATGTTCAATGCAACACAACGACACACTTGTTTCCCAAGAAGAGCAGGAAGAAAAGAATGGGATGAGAAAAAAGGATGAATTGATTAATATTGTTTCCATGTTCATCATTTTTTTTCAGAGTAACCCCATGGATTTTACATCACAATCTCCTGTTTTATGTGATCTTGGAAAAGCTACTTCTTTGCCACAATCCTGACAGGATTCCAGCTAATGTAGTCTAAAAAGTATTTTTCTCTAACTCAAGAGTCAAATGACATGCTCAGCCTATAGACGAGAAAGCCTGGTGGGAAAACTGAAAAAGTGAGGGGAAAAAACCCTCAGTGCTCAGTAGTTTACGCATTTGGCCGTAGGTTGGGAGTTCGATTCCCCATAGTGCCTCCTTGACAGAGGTTGCCTTGATGATCCACAGGGTCCCTTCTAGCTCTGCCATTCTAATTCTTATTCTAATTATTATTCTAATTCTTATTCTAATTATTATTCTTCTAATTATTCTTATTCTTCTTATTATTACCCTAACAACACAACGATGTTGATGACGATGACGATGACGATGACGATGACGATGAAAATAATAATAATAATAATAATAATAATAATAATAATAATAATAATAATAATAATAATAATAATAATAATA